TGTAAATCTGAGGAAGAGCAGTCAGTCTGTATGTTATGTGATCTTGAAATTTCTTCTGCCGAAGAGCTTAGTCCATTGCTTTGGAATTCACCCTAAGTTTGTAGGACACAGGTGGAAAACAAGAAGCGTTTTTGCCAGAATATGAGTGGGCTTTAGCCCACTTTCTGATAGCCATCATTTCCCTCTGAAACCTTTTGAACCAGGCCTTTGCTATCTGCATTTCTATTAACATCTGGGTCTTCCAAACTCTCACCAGAATGGCCCGTTAATCTTGGCTTACATTTTAGGGCTTCTTTGGTGTCCTGCTTCAAACTCCTCTGCATTACTTTTACAAATCAGTTCCAAATGCCGAAGAACCACATGGTCAACTTTATTACATCAACAGTCCCACTCCTTGGTAGCAATTTACTGTATTAGTTACTTAGTTGTGGTAACCAAATTTCCTACAAGAAGCAATTTAAAGGAAGAACAATTTATTTTGGCTCATGGTTTGAGAGTGTAGTTCATCATGGTGGGAAAGGCATTGTGGGAATGTGAGGCAGTTGGTTCCACTGTGTCTACAGTTAGGGGTCAGAGAGAGATGAATGCTCTGTTCTTGATTCTTTTTTGTTTTTGTAATTTTTTTATATTAGTTCAAATTAGGAACATCCTGGGCCGGGCCTAGGCCCTCCCCCATGTGTCCAGGCTGAGATGTGGGATGGGCTCTCAAAGTCCCTTTTTACACCAGGGAAAAATACTAATCCACTACCAGGGGCCCCCTAGAGTGCAGAGGCCTCCTCATTGACATCTATGTTCAGGGGTCTGTATCTGTCCCATGCTGGCCTCCCAGGCAGCAGTCTGGGGTCAATGTACTTCCTCTTGTTCAAGCCAGTTGTTTCTGTGGGTTTCACCAGCCTGGTACCGACCCCTTCGATCTTCATTCCCCCCCCCCTGCAACTAAGTTCCAGAGTTACGTTCAGTGTATATCTGTGGGTGTCTGCCTCTGCTTCCATCAGCCACTGGATGAGGGCTCTAGGATGGCATAAAAAGTAGTCATCAGTCTCATCATAGTGGAAGGGCATTCAGGCTATTGTTTGCACCATTGCCTAGATTATCAGTTTGTGCCATCCTTGTAGATCTCTGGAAATCTCCCTAGTATCAGATCTCTCCTTGGACCTATAATGGCTTGCTCTGATATGGTATCTCTTATCCTTCTCTCCTCTATTCTTCCCCTGACTCAACATTTCTGCTCCTCCATTTCCTCTTCTCCCCTCCTCTTCTCCCCCTCTCATTCTGGCAGCTCCCTCTTCCCTACCCTCATGCTCCCAATTAGCTCAGGAGATCCTGCCTCTTCCCATTCACAGGGGTTCATGCATTTTCCCTTAGAGTCCTTCTTTGTTTCCTAGTTTCTTTGGTGAAGAGGGTTGTAGGCTGGTAATCCTTTGCTGTATGTCTAAAATTCGTATATGAGGGAGTACATAACATGTTTGGCTTTTTGTGACTGGGTTATCTCACTCAGGATGGTTTTTTCTAGTTCCATCCATTTGCCTGTGAACTTCAAGATTCCATTGCTTTTTTCTGCTGAGTAGTATCTCCATTGTATAATTGTACCACATTTTCTCTATCCAATCTTCAGTTGAGGGGCATCTAGGTCTCTTCCAGGTTCTGGCTGTTACAAACAATGCTGCTATGAACATGGTTGAACATATGTCCTTGTATGAATGTGCATTATTTGGGTATATGCCCAAGAGAGGAATTGCTGGATCTTGAGGTAGACTGATTCCCATTTTCCTGAACAACTGCCATACTGATTTCCAGAGTGGTCTTACAAGTTTGCACTCCCACCAGCAAATGGAGGAGTGTTCCTTTTTCTTCACATCCTCTCCAGAATAGATTGTCATTGGTGTTTTTGATTTTAGCCATTCTGACCGTTGTAAGATAGTATCTCAGAGTTGTTTTGAGTTGCATTTCTCTGATGGTTAAGGATTTTGAGGACTTTCTTAAATGTCTTTCAGCCATTTTAGATTCCTCTGTTGAGAATTGTCTATTAAGTTCTGTGCCCCACTTTTAAATTTCATTGATGGGTGTTTTGGTGGCTAGCTTCTTGAGTTCATTGTATATTTTGGAAATCAGCCCTCTGTCAGATTGGGGTTGGTGAAGATCTTTTCCCATTCTGTGGGCTGTCGTTTTTGTCTTACTGATTGCTTCCTTTGCCTTACAGAAGCTTCTCAATTTCAGGAGGTCCCATTTATTAATTGTAGATCTCAATATCTGTGCTACTGGTATAATGTTCAGGAAGCAGTCTCCTGTGCCTCTTCATTCAAGGGTATATCCTACTTTCTCTTCTAGAAGATTCAGTGTG